AAAAATTGGTTTCCTAGTATAAGGGTATAAGACTGTGAAGGGGTAAAAGATGTAGGACTTAAAGTGGCATCTAAACAAATACTAGTCTTAACACATCGCAAACCTTTACCCTTACAGCATACCTGACGCAAATGTTTTATCTTGTTATACCCCCTTTGCTTGTATTGTACTCTCTTCCCCCAGTTACTGCTCGCTGCACGCCAGAAGGCTTTTTTTCGATTGCTGTTCCCAGTACACAGACTGCACCAAGACTGGATCTAAATTCTATTCGACTACTTGGCAACAGCACAGAATGTGACCCGGTGGCAAGTAACAATATGTTTCTGCTGTATGAATTCCCTCTTTCTTCCTGTGGGACAACATTCAAGGTAACATTACTAAAATCTTGTTTAATAAACTTTACTAAAATATGATTAGCGCTGTATCACAGAACATTGATTGGAGTACCAACGACCATTGCTCTATTTTTTTTTTTTTTTTTTACATATAACCTTGCGCAGTATTTCCCTGGCATCTTGCATTATTTGACTAAAACTTGTCTAAAAAAAATTGTGATTGTATGTATTCTTGTTTTGAATTGCAAAGCAACTAACTTTGCCTGGAGTTGTGTTTTAAGCAAAGTTTGAAAATATATACCTCAAAACTTGGTCAAACGGCTGAATGGGATTTGAAATCCATTATTACACAAATCTATTTTGGTTCTCCAAAAAAAAAAAATCTGTAGGCTATGTAGTTCTAAAAACCTAGAAGAAGAAGTTTTGTTCTTTGTATATGCGGGCTCTGTTTCTTCGAGTACTAAATGGTCAGGCTTTTAATCTCCTTGTCACAATAGACGTTTGAGTTGGCCAACTCATTCAGCTTTGTGCTCCCTGTGTGGCTATGGCTTATGTCAACAGGTTGTGCATCAAATAAAATGGAATGTACAGAGTCAGACCTTGAGATTATTAGTTTCATGTATCTGCTTCATGCTCTGTGAATGCTGTTATATTTGTAAAATGTACCCTAGGTGATTGGGGATCAGGCAGTGTACGAGAATGTGCTGCAGGCCACAAAAACGATACAAACCTGGAACAGGATATTCATCTCCAGAGACACCACATTCAGGTATCCTTCTCCTAAATGTCTGTTCTGCTGACAAGTTTCATTTGACAAGGGTTTAACCCTTCCCTACCTTCTAAAAAAAAAAAGCTTTGGCTTGACATAAAAGAATACTGCACAGGTGTAGGCTTTCGTTGCTAATCTATCCTTCTAAGATTGCTAATGGCCTTCATGCCAATCCAAAAACCGTTTGTCTAAAGCTGCCCACACACCTTACAATTTATCTGCAGATTTTCTGTGGTCAGATAGAAAAGGTGCATCAGATTCCTCCATCTACACTTAACTGTGTGGATGGAGTAATCTCCACCTGGGCCAATCTGTTGCACCTTTTCCATCTGACCACAGAAAATCTGCAGATAAATTGTAAGGTGTGTGTGGGCACCTTAACAGACCATGAGTATGCAGTTGGGGAGTTCAAACTTCAAGAGTTCAGCATTTGGTCACAATTACTCATTTAAAGTGACCCTAAACTCAAGAGTGAAGTTGACTACAGAGAAGATATTAAGGGAAATGCTGTTCAGCATTTGTGTGTACTTTTTATTAATGAATACTTGTCACTTCACATATGTCTTCCAGGCTGGCTGACCTTTTTGCCTTTTCAGAGGCAAACTGTGTGGTGGTGTAGATTTTATTACTGATTAGCTCTCAGGAGTGTTGCCTTATCTTCCAAAAATGTGTACACGTGGCGTGTTTTAGTGTTGGTGCATTTGCCTCCCCTACAGGTTGCTGATTCGTTGCAGTTTTGCAGTCACTGGCTTTCTGCCACTGAAAGTCGATGTGGTAACATTTCCACCTCCACCACCAGTATCCAGTGAAGGTCCATTGTTGTTTGAGATGAGGCTTAGTGTAGGTATGAATCTTTCATATAACTGTTCAAAACCTATAAAATCGACAGTACCTTATTGAATCCAGCAAAGTGTGTGTGTCCACCCCTGAAATCGCAACTTCTTACACTGGCAACCCCTTGGTTGAGTAGCATTGGTTTGGCTGGTCATTCACAAACTACAATAGGAGAGCTTGCACTGCCCATTGGAATTCTGGTCTGCAGGACATCTGAAACTTTGGGCCTGTATTACATTGTTCATAAAATGCAGGATTCAGAGTGCAACCTGCTGTGCTGTTATGATGATCTCTGCATGACTCGCTATAATGTGACTGGGTTCTAAAAGACCGCTCAATGAAGGGAACAAGGCTTGGTTTTGCTTCAGTCTCTAACAGTATGACTGCAACGGGTCATACTACGGTTTTATAAGTAGCACCCCTAAAATGTTTGTAGGTCAACTTGGACTTTACTGACCAGTCTTGATACAGTCTTTACACCATCGCCTATGGCGAGTTTTCACTTGTATTTCTATCGCTGCTCTTGGTATAAGTCCTATTCAGGTTGGTACGTTGCGGTAATATGTAAATTTACTGCAATTTGCGTACCACCATGTGAATGGCACCCAACACACTTCATGGAAGTGAGACAATGCACATGGTGTGCATGTGTCTTGCTGGAAAGACTTCCATTCACTTTGGAATTTGGAGGGGAACTCCTGACAACTCTAAAATCTAGGATTGTAATTGTACAGCGATCACCTGGATGGGTGTAATCTCCCCAGTGGGGACACCATCTGCAATTAAAACTTGGCAGTGAGTCTGACCCTTCAACCTTCTGTCCAAAACTAAAGAGAAAATTGCCTTTACCTACTTTAAGGATATGATTTTAGGTTTGGATTTGTGGTGAATCCAGATGGTTTGAAATCCACATCCCTCAGGATTTATATATGCCGCATGTTGCCCTAAAAGTTGTTTTGAAAGGCATCTACTGC